AACCTTGGATTGATGAAACCATTTCAACAAAAAGACTCACTGGTACTCTCAATGGTGATGGAGTTTCACCATTTAAAAAGAGCTTGAATAATTTCTATAATTTCATTGTACAGTTCAATGAAATGAGTCCTTCTGATCGAAAGAAATCTACCAATAATTTTCTATGGGCCATTTTACCAAGGAAACCTGATAAGATAGATATTGAAATTGGACTCAAAGTAATAATGAATGATCTGAATTGTCTAAATTCAAATCAAAAAAACCTTAATTTGGAAATGATAATTGAACGAGTAATTGCTGACCTTCCTGCAAGATCAGAGATTTTATTCTTTAAACGCCAAGGATTTTATTTTTGTCACTTGTGTAACACTAAGGGTGAAGATACATCTGGTTCTCACAAAGTTTATCCATTGGAGTTTCGAACAAGATTAGTAGTATTGAATGGAAAATCAGAACTCATTGAGGTTTTTGAAAAATTCAAATACAGAGAATATCACAATGAGATTTCTCTCATTAACAATTTTCCAAACTCAAATCTACCACCCGGAATGGATAATGTTTCTCCAATCCTATTACAACCATTCAATCCTAATCCAACATGTCTCTGTTCATATGATAACATGCATTACAATTATGAAGGTATTTTGGTGAAATTTCTCAATTTAATTGATGAACGATATTGGAAAGAATTTGATGTCATTTATTTAAAACAGAAGTTTCCCTCCTTTTTTCACAAGCACCCAAGATCCATTGCAAAGAATATCAATCACCTGAAATCCATTGAAGTTTACATTCTGTGTCATTATTATCTCGAATTATTTGAGGAAATTCCAAGCTATAGTGAAATTCAAGAAATAGTTCAACACATTATTCAATATGTGAGAATTATTGATAAGCTAATGGACTCATTTCAATTAGAAGATCTTCTATTATTGCAGAAACAGCTAAACTCAGTTCTGTACTTTTTTCAAAAGAAGGATGCTAATTTTTGCTCTCCAAATTTTCACATAGCAGCTGAAATGGTAATGAACTGCCGTCTATATGGTCCATTGTGGTGCAATAACGCATTTATTTTTGAGGCAATGAATAACATTCTCTCAAAACCCTTCAAATGTGCCAATTCTTTAAGATATTCAATTCTATTCTTTGATATGGTAAATTTGGTACAATTATTGAACTTGAAACCTCCCAATCGTAAACTAGAATGTGTCTGTGGTAATTATATAATCAATAGCAAAAGAGATTACTTGCTACACACTCCCTCTAAAGAAATTTATCAAGTCAATTCATTTTCTCCAAATTATTCACAAATTGAGATTCGACATGCTGTTAATGGCACAACAATCACCGTCTCACAAGACACTATCAAACAAGATTTCATACCAGCAATATGCCAGCAAATTAATGGCTCTTTTCACTTCAAACCAATTCACAAAATGGCCTTTACATTATATTAAATGTCTTTCCATATTTGGCTTCATCTCTAAAATAAACACTTTCTATTTTTGCAACCAGTTTAAACTATTTTTCAAAAAAAATACCTCAACATACTAGTAAGTCGTATCAGTTATCAATTATATTACATCATTTCAATTCATTTACAAGACATATCAATTCAAATTTTTATTTCACGTTTTTATAAGAAACTCTTGTCAATTTCCTTGTCATCTTTGATGGTGTGAAATCTTTTACAATATTAATTCACACGGTGTGAATCTTTCATAGCATTGAGTTTCACTCAGTGTGAAATGGTTCAAGATGAAAGATTTCCAACTTGTAAGAATTATGAATAGTTCAATAAAATTTCAATTTATCAAAAATTAATAATCATTCTGCAACGTCATTGGAGACACTTTTTGAGACGTCATTGAGGACGCTTTTTTTGACGTCTTAATGACTCTCAAATTGACACCGTCAAAATGACGAAAAAAAACGTCATTTTGACGTCCACAACACCGTCCCAATGACACCTTAACAAGCATAAACAAAGGCGTCATTCATGACTATAAAATCGTCAAAACAAGCGTCAATAAAAATGAGCGGGGCATTGAAAGTTTAAAAAAAAATTCCCAACTTGAAATGCAAGAAACACAATCACTCGCCGATTACATCAAATCTTTTGGTACATTTCAATTGATTTTCCTCTCTTTCATTTCTTTGATCATTCTCTACTTGATAATTTATACATGCCGATTTGTGCACTTGTATTTAAAGTATAGGCACATTCCTGGCTTTGTTTCCTTTCTACCACCCTTCTTGGGATCACTCGTGGCCGGAGAAATGTTTGTTGGTTATGAGTATTCATGTATTTTGAAGGCTTTTACGAGTAATCCTGATAGTACAATTGTAAAGATTCAAAAAGGATTGGATCTTTATTTTGCTGTGGCTAAGGATCAAGAAATAATCAAGGAATTACTCATTAGAAAGTATAAAACTATGGCCAAGAATGAAAAGTTGTTGGAACCATTGGGATTATTTGGACATAATATGTTAACTGCCGATTCAACCAATCCTATTTGGAAGAAACATAGAGTATTGGCTAATCCAATCTTTTCAAATCATGCTCACTTGAAAAATGTATTCAGAGTCACAATGGAAGAACTTTCCAACATGATTAAATATTGGAAAGATAATTATGATTCAGATGCTGAAGGAAATATTAGAAATGTCAATACTACACAAGAACTCAAGTCAATTACACTCACTGTTATTAACAGAGTTGCTTTTGGTTATGATATTGAGATTTTTAATAAGAGTACAAAACACAGAGATGAAATTCATCAATCGACAACTGACTTGTTGAGTGGAATCATGTACAAATTTGTTTTCCCTACATGGTTCTTTGAATATTTACCGTTTGGAATTTTTGGCAAATTCAAGAAGGCAAAGAATAATTTCCGTAAGATTGCCATGGATATGATTAGTAAAAAGACAGCTGAAATTCAAAAGAATAATGAAATTATGGAAGATGAAGATTTATTGAGCTTGTTAATGAAGAGTAGTGCTTCTCAAAACTTATCAGATGAGGAAAAATTGAGTGATGATGAATTGGTCAGTGCTATGTTTATTATATTCTTTGCTGGATTTGAGACAAGTTCAACCTCTTTGAATTTCATGTTGAGGCTGTTGGCCATTCATCCAGATGTTCAGGAGAAATTAATTGAAGAAATTGATGCAACAGTAGAGTCAGCCGAATCTATGAAATTTGAAGATCTTACCGAAAGACTTCCTCTATTGAACTCATTCATTAAGGAGTCATTCAGGGTCAAACCAGCAGTAGGTGCCGTTTCCAGAACTGTTGCCAAGAAGGGAGGAGAAACTATTGGAGGAATGCACTTTAATGAGGGAGACCAAATTGTTTTCAACATTATGGTTCATCACAAACTCTCCCACAATAATGCTATGGATACTTTCAAATTTGACAGATTTTATCAACCATCAGATAAGCAAGACGATTCTTCATCAGAAAGCTCAGATAAGGGAACAATGGGAAATTTAACACTCGAGTTTGCAAAGGATGATTTGGCCTCCTTCTCACTTGGTCCAAGAGATTGTCTCGGAAGAAGAATGGCCTTGATAGAAGTTAAACAGATTCTCGTCTATTTATTGAAAAAGTACAGAATTACAGTGCCAGAACATTTGAAGGAGCAACAGGCTAAAATTAAGGAAACTTACATCATGACAAGATGTACCTTTGAACCTTTTATTCTTAATTTTGAAAAGAGATGTTAAAATTTTCTAATTTATTTACATGATTTGATTATTATTAAATCGTCGTTAGGAGAATAGGATTTCAAAATTGGATATTTTGTTAACTTTAAACATGTTGCTCTTGATTAAGATTTGGATAATGAACTTGATTAATGGAATAAGCAACTGGATTTTGAGCAACATATTGTTGAGGAGTGACAATAGTTGGAACGGAGGCATCATCTTCTTCCTCTCTCAATTGTTGATGAGCTTCACTCTTTTGTAATGAAATAGAATAACCCTTCTTCTTCAAAATGAGAACTACAATTCCAGCTCCACAAGCCAAACACAATGAAACACTAGCAACAATACCACCAATAACACCAAGAATTAAACCAATTGGTAATCCTTGTTCTCCAGCTCTATTTTGAGTTTTGGTCATTTCATTACCATCTTGAATATTGGAATCATCTTGATCCATATCTGGTGATGCTGATGAAGAATCTTGTGGTCTTGGTGGTCTTTGTCCAGAACGATCTGGTCTTGGTGGACGAGGACCTGGACCTGGTTGTCTTCTGGAATGATCTGGTCTAGGTGGTCTTTGTCCAGATGGTAATGGACGTGGAGGTCTTTTTCCAGAAGGCATTGGTCTTGGATTTCCTGATTGTTGTGGACCTGGTGGAGGATGTGGTCTTTCACCAGAATGATCAGGTCTTGGTGGTCTTTGTCCAGAGTGATCTGGTCTTGGAGGTCTTTGTCCTGAACGATCAGGTCTTGGACCAGGTGGTGGATTTGGAGGTCTTTGAGAAATATTGTTATCTTGAGCGAGTGTGGACATTGTCAAGGCAATGAACATGATTAACATGACAGCGAGGACTGCCAATGATTTCTTTGAGTGTTGGTGATGCATTTCGTTTCTTTTTTTCTTATTGTTTTGAGAGTTTGTTTCTGAGTGGCTTGGATTTTAAAGGATTGAGAAAGCTTCTTGTTGGAAAATTGAACATGAGAGGTGTCTATATATTGTCCAATTGATTGTTATTGATGTTGTTAGTGACTAGACGCACTAATAAATTCCAACATCTTTCGAGTTCGTGGAAAGAGTTCAAGTTTTAGTCGGAGTTTTCATTTCCAAATGAGAGGACGTTTGATACTACTAAGCTCGAATTCAATGTTCTAGAATTGATAATTTCAGTGAAGGAATTGACCCTTGTTCGTTCTTATTAAATATTTACAATAAATTTAAATACATATTCATTATTACATGTGTTTAATTGTTTAAGTTGTGTTTTCTTTTAAAAAAATGCAAAAGACAATTCACGTGCATTGTTTAGGTGTTTGCACAATGGATTTTGTCTCCCAACTCGATCACTTCCCTTCCATCAATTCAAAAAACAAGAGTTTGAATATGAAAATGTGCGGAGGAGGAAATGCTGCAAATGTAGCCTTTGATTTATTCATGATGATGAGGAAGGAAAATAATAATGATCATGATTTGATAGAGGAAGTATCATCAAGAAAGGGGAAAGAATTATCGGAAAGTTTTAATACAATAATTAAATTAATATCAAAAATTGGTAATGATGTGGTTGGAAAATCGATAAAACAAGAATTTGAAGAATTGAAAGATGGGATTGGATTTGAGTGGTTTTGTGGTTTCTCCGAATTGTCAATCTTCATTTAGTTATATAATGGTAACACCTAGTAGGGATTCTAATGAAGCATTTGATAGAACTATTGTTAATACTCCGTTATCGGAAGGGTTTCAATTTAAAGAATTGGAAAGTTATTGTAAAGAAGATAATTTGGGAGAAATTGATTTGCTGTTTTTGGATGGAAGATATGCTAATGTAGCAATTGAATATATTGATGCAATGGATTGTAGAGGATGTATTGTAATGGAATGTGAAAGGATGAGATTTGGATATGAATTGAATTGTTTTTTGGAACTAATTTCAAAATCGAATGTTATTACAATATCTGAAGGATTTGGAAAGGAATATCTTGATTATTATATGAATCAAAATGAAGAAATTAAGGAGTGGATGCAACAGGTCGACATTTCTAATGAATTAATTTCTCTTCACTTGCTGTATTCTCTCTTGAAACAAACAAAGAACAAGATCCCTAATTTTTTAATTCAAACGTTGGGATCCAAGGGATCTATATGCATGATTCAAAAGGTGGATATGGAAGAAACTCAAGTAAAATCATTTTCGGATATCATATCATTGGAGACTATTAGCTCTTCACCTCAGACTCAAGACTTTTCATTTTCAATTACAGACCATCTAGGAGTACAACATTATTATACTATCATTTACTGTCAAGCATATTCAAATAATGAACTACCAATTGTAGATGGTACAGGAGCTGGCGATTCCTTCAATGCTGCAACACTCTACACATTACAACAATTCATAGCTAAAGATATTCCTGTTGACCTTTCGAGCTTGAAAAAATTATTGAAATTTTCTAGTATCTCTGCAGTTTATTGTTGCAGTGCAGTTGGCGCTCGAACTCGTATCATTGATAGCAAAACAGCAAGGGAAATTTGGAATGAATTATAATATTTTATTGGATGATTTCAGAGCCTTTTCAATTTCCTCTCTCACCTTGTCAATTAGAATTGGCTTTTAATTAACTGAATCGAAACTAGCTTCTTTTAACATATCAGCTGTTTCCCAATTATTTGCAGTGTACTTTTCTTATTGTTGGTTTTTTCATACTCTCTAATATTTTTCACACTTTGCTTACCACACATTACTAAGATCGTAGAACCAACCAATAATGCCATGTAATGGATTTCTTGCTTCATGTGAAATGTTGGCAATTAGGTGAGTCTTTTCATTGCTAATGTACTTATCCTGTTTCTCCTTTGAATACGTATTACACAGGAATAAACATAGGGAGAACAAAAGCTAGGAGAGGTCACTTCAATGATCTTTGAATAAATTGAACCGCTCATATATAAGGAAGAGGGTTATAGAATTAGACGGAGGGATCAGATGACAGGAAGTCCATTTGTAGAATTCGTTGAAGTGATGGTACTAAATGAGTTGATTTTCTTGGCCTATTTCCACAAACGAAGAACGAGAATTTGGCGTTAATTCTGGAGAGCTTGTAATACTACTAGTATTAGATGAAAGACAGTTCATAGATTGAGATCTACTCAAAGGGCTGAATGGTATTGAGCTATATGGATATCCACTTGTCTGACTAGAAGAAGATGTATTATATAGCAGTGATGCTAATGTGAGGGAGTGATGAAATATTTCTCTTAGAAGATAAGGATTCTGTCATACTTAACGACCTTACTATTAATTTTCCATTCGCTGTTAAGTGGTTATCAATGTTCCTGAGTAGGAGTTAGGTGCACATTTGTAAAGTCATTTTTGGAAAGGAAAATATCTGTATTGACAGGTGGCACTTGGAATGAGAAACGTGATCACAAGAACAAAAAAATGGTAGCAACGCCACCTCTCCTCTTCTCTTTCTTTGTGTTTTGTTGGTGTGGATTCTTGCTTGTTGACACATGTTCTACACACTCTTCCATAACTTCATCAACATTGAATGTGTTTATTCAGAAAAGCTCCACAACAGAAAGTTTGCAAGTATTTGGATCCAACTCTTCGATCATTCTCATCACATTCAATCAGACAGCTAGTCAAGATGAGTCAAGTTGGAACGTCATTAATCAAATTGGACCTACAACAGATGTACATGTCTATTCGTCACTCTTAGAGGAAGACACTCCAGAAAAGGATGAATTCAAAAGGAGTGTTGAACATGCCATGCTTATGAATGGTTTGAATATTAGAAAACTTTCGTATGTCACTTTGATGCTTACGGATTGTATGATTGGAAATCCATTTGTGGATAACAAACAGATCAAGTTTCTGATAACGACAGATTTCGATTTACCTATCATGGTGAGGAAAATCAGAGAGAATTTCGCATTGGGGAGGTTATTAGAAATGAGTGATTTTAGAATTCAAGTTTTGGCTCCATACGAAATCCAATATTCAACGACAAGCAACATTTCAGAATCAACTGAAAGTTTATATCAAGATAAGATTGCAGAATGTTTGAATGCAATGAAGAATTGTAAAAATAATGGAACCCTCTCAACATGCTATTGGAAACATGATTATTGTTGGATCAGACAACCTTCATCTCTCTTCCAAGTTCAACAATTCAATCTTCTCAATTCCTACACTAATATGAAACTAGTTTACAATAGCTCTTCCATTTCCAACTCTATTTCCAAATACTCTCTGGAATTCTCGCACGAAACTCAAAACCTCACCTTACCATTCATCATTTACAATGAAATTCTTCCATCTTTCTTCTTTTCCTGCAAATCTCCGATCTGTCTCTATGAACCAATGCTTCCAAGTGAACCATTTCACTATGCAGTTGCGTTCTGTTGCTTGATATTTTATATTGGACTAATTTTCATGAGGAATAAGAATACTATTAAGGTAAGATTGTTGTTGCCGTGGATATGTCCATTGATTGTTACAATAAGAATTCTTAGTAGTGGAGAATACTTGTATTCAACCTGTCCAATTATTTATTCAATGATTTCTATAGAAACTGTTTCTATTGTGGTGACGATTTATTGTGTGACAGTTATTAGATTCTTTTATTTGAGAAATTTATATGACATCATTTCAAAATCAAAGAGAATTACACTTTTAAAGAGATTGGCATCTGTCAGATTTGGAATTTTTGTGACAGTTTTGGCATCTGTGATTGTATTTGCTCTGTTGATGGTGTTTCTTCCAATGTTTATCAAAATTTATTTGAATCAGACTGCAATCAGTGTTTCCAGAAATGTAATTATTGGAGTAATTGTTGCCATTGCAATTATTTTGGCTATTATTTATTCTATATTTGATATTATTCTCAGAAGAAAGGATATTCGAATGAAAGGAATCATGTATTATCTATTTTTCGATGATCCTTATCTGATTCGAATAGATTTAATATCCTTAATTATCATTTTGCTGTTGCTTATTCCATTTGTGATTCCAACAAGAATTCAAGTATTATCTGGATTGTTTAGAATGTTGATTGCATTGTCTGCGTTCATGGCAATGGGTGGAACAACAATGGTATTGGAATGTTTCAAAATGATTCGTTATTCGAAAAATGACGAAAGTGAAAAACTGGAGGATATAATTTCTGATAAGAATTTATTTAAAATCCTTAAAGAATATGCACAGAAAGAGTTTAGTTTGGAGAATATTCTATTATATGAAAATTTACAGCAATTTTCCCACAAGAAATTTACACGTACTGACCTAGAAGAAATAGAAGAATTATTTGTAAGAAACTATTCGAAATACGAAGTCAACCTCCCTTCCCTAACCAAACGTAAATTCTACGAATACATGAAAGAAACTGAAAAATCCGAAACTCTTGATGTAAAACTTGTCAAGGACCTAATCTTCCAAGAAATCCTCAACAATATCATGGACACATTCTCTCGTCTCCAAGAAACCGAAGAATATCTGAAATGGGAGCGCATCAAACAGTTCCAACTTCGTAAAATGTCTATCAATCCTTCAAATTCCAATAGAAATCAATAATTATTGTAAACATTCTACGAAACAAAATGGAATAAACCAATTCCAATATATAGAACAGCACAATATAGAAAGTTATACCAGTACATCCAGCACATTGTTACTCTATCACACATAATTATAATGAAAATTACAAGTTTTTTTGATATCCAACATCTATGCTGGAATCTATTTGGCGCGCTGGATGTTGCAATTTTCTCCAGTAATGGAGCTAAATGTGGAAGTATAGAGGAAGTAGTGTGATTGCTAATGTTGAAATTGCTATTGTAGTTTCAGATAGCCCGATATGTGCAGTTGCGGCTTCTAGTACAGAATGAAGATTATAATTCTAAAGGATCATCTGTTGCAGATTTAACAAATTAAAAAGAATGGCAACAAGCAAAACTGTTGAAGATATTGATGAAGCATATCGTTCTGAACCTTGGTGGTAAGTTGATGCACTTTCGAATAGTTTTTGACATGGTCTTGTTTCAACATGTTTACAGGTATGATGTGAGAGGATTTTTCATATTAACATTTGCCTACCGATCAACACTTCCCAGACAAATTCGAATGTTTGGTTTAAACATGGGAGAAAATCACTTGGAAGTAGCCTGTGGCACTGGAACTCTTTTAGAGTATATTTTAAATTGGCGTAGACGAAAGCAACTACCTCACATCCAAATAACATGTGTAGATTATGCAGAGAAGATGTTACAAGGTGCCAAACATCGTTTCGCCAATCAATCTGACATGAAATTCCTCAAAGCAGATGCAGCAAACATGTCAGACTTCTCAGATGAACTATTTGACACTCTCAACATTGCAAATTCCATTCATTGTCTTCCACAAGTTGTTGAATCTTTCCAGGAAATGTTTCGTGTCTTAAAATCAGGTGGAATTCTATGTGGAAATGTATTGTTACATGCACGTGGTTGGTTTCCATTCAAACAAATTGCCAATTCCATAAATAGATGGGGAGAAAGGAGAGGAATTCTGGTGACACCCTATTCAGAGGATGGCATTGTGGAAATTGTAAAGCAAGTTGGATTTGTAGTTTTGGTGAGGGAAGTTCATGGAAATTGTTTGGAATTGACTTTACAAAAACCGAAAAATGATGCGAATGTTGTTGCTCAGAAACAACAAGTGAGTTCTGTGAGTTCTGTATCCATTGAAGTTGAAATAGGGCAAATAAATTAAGCATGTGTTAAAGGTTTCATGTGAGAATTTCAAAATGACTTGATCACATGTGAGTGATCCAATTTTGTAATACTTCATATATACATCTGAGTAGGTACATAAACAGCATATTCAACACAATTAAGTATTTGCTGTATTAATCCCTAACTTTGGTAATGATGAATTTTGAGAGATAAATTGTGTAAATATATTAGAAGAGATTAAGGAAGACAATCATACACATCTATTAGAAGTTGCTGCTTCTTGCACTTGCCTATGAAAACGAGGGCACCAACAAGAAGGTATTAAGGAACCTTTTGAATTGTTTTTTGATTTTTTGTTGGTTAATTATAATCTTAATTGTTAGCAAATTAATCCATGGAGTTTGTGTGTCACCTTGTTTAACATTAATGTCTATATATTGAAATGAATTTGACCATTTAAGAATGACTTTGTTGCATGGCTAAACACCCATGGTTCATTTCAATTTTACCTGGTAACTGTTATAAAATCATTCATAAGAATCCTTATCATACAGCCTTAAAGTTCCTATTTTGAGAAGTACCCTTCTCCAAACCTGATGAGTACGTCCATGATACAGTTGATGAACGATTCTTAATTCTATTAAGGAAGGTGCTCAATACCAAATCAGAAGGCACAGCTTTCCTCTATCAAACAAAACACCCTAGACTGTTTCGGCGGTTCTGTCACATCTCCTCATAAGAGCTTAGTTCATTAAGGTTCTCCTCGTCCACAAGTGTGCATATTCTCCCTCTCCAGCTTTTGTTGTTGTTTGAATTTGTGTTGAAGAAGAAGGGATGAAGGGGAGATCACAAAATTTCATGATCAAAAAAAGAACAACAAATACTCTAGAACTGTGGGATTCTCAACAATATATTCACCTTGGTCAGTTCATCAGCATTACATTCACTGTGTCCACTCAATTTTGCATCTAGATAATCAAGTCTCTAACACCATATATTAATTAAGAATGAATCATCATCACGCCGAGTCCTATATGAATGGTTGGATGGTTTCTCGTTGGTCATCCTCTAACAACAGTGACAGTAACAAAAGTTGCCTTTTCACACATAGTGAACCATCCTCGCCAAGGGAAGTTTACATGTCTTGCTTTTCGCACAATGCCTTTGCTATGAAACCACAACAAGGATTTCATTCAAATGCAAACGTTGGTTCAGCATCATGTTCAGCATCATGTGAGGATTATTTCTATAATGCTAAGGACAAGCTCAATTATGATAACGGCTGCAGTAGTAGCAGTAGGAAAGATTTTCATGAAACTGTTTCAGTAACATCTGTGGAAGGACATTCGACGCTTTCAACTGACATTTCGGACTCTTATTCTACTTTTCTCAAATTGGATGTGGAAGACTTCATTCAATCATGCATTAGCCAATCACAGAAACATTCTCTTTCTACATGTATTAAACATGCTTCACAACAAACCAAGCCACAACAACATTCTAAAAGTCAATTTAAACAAATATATGAAACAAATCCTGTCTTGAATGCTTCCACTCTACAACTAGAAGAAACAATAGCTCTAACAAATCCTCCCTCACTACCTCTCCCTCCAAAAATTAGTAAGAATTCGTCTTCGAGAAAGACACATTCATCTTCATCATCGAGTCTGGATTCTCTTGTTCCAGAAAGAAGAAAGAGGAATAAGAGAAGCTATTTACCTGGTGAGAGGAAAATGATCATGTGGAAGTGGAATAAGGCAACAATAAAAGAAGGTCTGTGATTCTTAAACAGGAGAAGGTTTCTTTTTGGAAATGCATTGAGCAATTCATCTTTCAATGCCAGTGTTTGTATTTAGAATTGGAATCGCTACTGTTTGATTAATATTGGAGCATAACACCTGATTGCTTTGGTTAATTGGATAAACAAATCAACAACATTCTCAATGGTCATACTATCGAGTTGGAAACTCCTTGATTGAAAATTTGGCTAATTCTTATTGTAGTAACAATGTTAACAACCAGAGAGATAATATAATTCTAGATATGGATGACACTTTAAATACAATGCCAAACGAAGGAACTATTCAACATTGGCCACTTACTTCTAATCAAGCCTCCAATTTTTCATTACCAACCA